GAAGATGAAGAGCAGCCCTGTCGCACGCGCAGTGATGTTCCCGAAAATAACGACCCACCTAAAATCCTGAGGTTTAGGGTTCTGTCGTGAACCTGTAGCCCAAAAGACGTTCAGGCCACAGATGGCCCGAAACCGATGAACAAGAACACCTGTCCAGATTAGTACACCCACCCCGCTGGACAGCCACGCGACAGGGTTGCGCCTAGCTGTCAGACATGGAAGCCTGTCTGTTTAAGCCAAAATGGCAACGCAGGGTTTAGAGTTTAGGCTTACTAGGTAGGGGGTAATTAGGGTCTTCCGTAAGCAATTCTATATGGGATATTGCCATCATTTCAGAATTTTGTAAGGCCATGCAGACTGGATGTGCGGTCTTCCAGATCCTCCTGGAAAGGGAGACCCTCTCTCTCTCTCTTTCTCTCTCTCTCTCTCTCTCTCTCTCTCTCTCTCTCTCTCTCTCTCAAGTATGTCTACCATACATGTTGAAAGGTTTGCGCCCGCAACTTAGTTGCTGAGTTCATAAGCCCAAGAAAGTGTGAAGCTTCAGTGCTGCATGGGGTAGACCTATCCCGAGAAGGGCAAAGTGTAGTCACTCAGCGACAAAGTCAAGTCCGGAAACCCTCAGCCCTAGACCCCTAAGCCCTAAAACTCTAAACCCTAAACCCCTACACCCCTAAAGCTCTAAACCCTAAACCCCTAAACCCTAAATCCTCAACTCTGCCATCACCAAATCGCAGCTTTGCCGAGTGCCCCAGCTGAAAGGATCTGTGGCAAATGTCGATCTAGCCGACTTGCATGAGCATAGAGACCTGTGCTCCAAGGAGCAGGGGACTTAGTAAGGGTTCTTAAATGGCCCCTTAGAGGGATCTATAGGGTTCTTTAAAGGGATCTATACACTTGGCAAGGGTTGGCTTCGGGTTTTAGGGTTTAGGGTTCAGGGTTTAGGGGCCTTTAGGGCTTTACGGTTTAGGGACCTTGCGTCTTTGGGGTTTAAGGTTTTTGGGGTTAGGGGTTTAGGGGTTTAGGGATTTAGGGGTTTAGGGTTTAGGGTTTAAGGTTTAGGGTTTAGAGCTTAGGGTTTTAGGGTTTAGGGCTTAGGGTTTTAGGGTTTAGGGCTTAGGGTTGAGTAAGGAGTCCTACTTGGAGGATCATGGGACGTAGTAAGTAGGGTTTAGGGCTCTTTTTAAGGGTACTATAGGGTTCTATAACAGGGTTCCTTAAACAGATCTATAAGGGTTCTAGAAGGAGGATCATGGGACCTCGTAAGTACGGTGATAAGTACTTTAATTGGGGTTATATAAGTAAGTATGACTGTAGTTACTTTACTTACAACACTACTTAAGAGCGTAGACACCTGCGGAGGGTCTCCTTAGTGCTGAATAACCTAGCTTTTTAAGGACTTATATAAGGAAATCATAATAAGGAACCCTAAGAAGGTGGGTTGTTCAGGGTTAAGGTTAATCACAGGGACCCTTGGGGTGGGAGGCCTTGTTAAGTCCTGATTATAGGTATTAAGGCCCCCTGCCCCGCCCCCCCTACTCCCCTAAGGGTCCTACTAACATAAGGGTCTTAGTGATTCGAATAGGGCTTTGGGTTATGACTCGTAGTAAGCAACCCTGAGGAAGTGCTTTGGTGATTATTCCTTTGACGGTTCCTTTTTCAGTAATCGGGATTAACATGAGGATCTTAATCATTACATCAGCATAGAGACCTGAACCGGTTGAGGGTTTTGGCAGGGTTCAGGGTTTCCTGCGCCGGTGCAGGGTTAATGCAGCCGTCCTGAGAGTCAAAAAAGGAGCCTACATGCATCCGAACCTTCATCGAATCGTCAGGGAACAGTGGCGCTATGGCCGATTTGAAATGCACACTTTTGCCACTCATTGCATCTGCTGCCCGTAAAGCCTGCCCTGGAATACTGTATGCACCAGGACGGCTGCCAGCCGTCGCCGGCAGGAAAACACTCCAGGTCGGCGGTTGCTGAGCAAAAAGGAGATTGAAATGGAGCTTGCGCACACCAACGCCCTGCACGAGACACATATGCAGAGGGTATGTGGGTCTATATGTATGCAAACACGCATTCGGTACTGCTACTACTACTGCTACTGCTACTGCTACTGCTACGGCTACGGCTACGGCTACGGCAACGGCTACTACTACTACTACTACTACTACTACTACTACTACTACTACTACTACTACTACTACGACTACTACTACTACTACTACTGCTACTACTCCTACTCCTGCTCCTGCTCCTGCTCCTGCTCCTGCTCCTGCTCCTGCTCCTGCTCCTGCTACTGCTACTGCTACTGCTACTGCTACTGCTACTGCTACCGCTACTGTTACTGCTACTGCTACTGCTACTGCTACTGCTACCGCTACTGCTACTGCTACTACTACTCCTACTGCTGCTGCTGCTACTCCTACTGCTCGTACTACCGCTACCCCTACTGCTACTACTCCTACTGCTCCTGCTGCTCCTACTACTGCTACTGCTACTGCTACTGCTACTGCTACTGCTACTGCTACTGCTACTGCTACTGCTACTGCTACTGCTACTGCTACTGCTACTGCTACTGCTACTGCTACTGCTACTGCTACTACTACTACTACTACTACTACTACTACTACTACTACTACTACTACTACTACTACTACTACTACTAGTACGACCACTGCGCACTAGAGACAGTTGCGGACGCAGACGAAAATCATTGGCAACTGCAGTGGTAGCGATGGCACCAGCATAAAGATCAACAGCCTGCCAGTGGTGATGATCGTCGACAACAGGGTGTGAAGAAACATAGAAGCGCAGGCAGAACCAGCAGCAGCATTAGCAGCGCTAGCCTATTGATGACGATGGTGGCAATGAGCGACATGCAGATGGAGATGATGAAGACGACGAACGCGCAGATGATGTTCTTACTGCTGTTGTTGTTGGTCATGGCGATGACAATGATAAGTTCATGATGTTCCTGCAGATGCAAGTCCCGTAAACCCTGAACCCTAAACCTAAGACCTGAACCCTAATTACACCTCAAATCGCTGAATCCTACACCCTGAGCCCTAACGTGGCATCGCTGTGGGACATGGGATGGTAAGCTCGTGAAAGGCGATATAGCAGCCACATTCTTCATCTGCGGCTGCCAAGAGCCGTGTCAGAGAAAAATAGGGCGGGGCACGGAAGGATGGAACATATGCCATAAACACTAAGCCTAATGCACTATAGGGGCCTCAATTTTAGAATAGGTTTTGGGGCCCATCATACTACAATTAATTTAATTACAATAAGGAAACCCAAAATAGTATAAGGTAAAAGCCAGAAAGTTGGAATATGATTATCCTAACCCTTCTATGGTAAATTATAGGGTATCCTACCATGAAACCATATTCCAACTTTCTGGAGTTCCCTGTAGGTAATTAGATGGCCCCTATAGTAACCCACCAGTCTCCCTCGAACCCATACCCTCAACCCAAAAAGCCCTCCATTCTCGGATGCGGCTCATGATATCATCATTTCCCCAAAGGGTCCCATGTAGGAAGTCAAAATAGTCATTCCTAATATGGAAACTCTACATTCTACTATATCGGTACATAGGACCCTTTGGGTTCGGATCGGGAAGCTGAAGGCGAAGTTCTGGGCTTCACTTCGCGACAGCGCATGTATCCATTTTCGGTGGTTGTCAAAATTATGGCCCCTTTTACGGCACCTAATATTTAGGGTACCCAAAAAGGGACCATAATTTTGACAACCACCCATATACTTTGGTCATAAATAGCTTGGTGTAACAACTCAGTGACAGTCTCATGGATCCTTGGTGCTGTCCTCCTTTAGGGGCCTTACTCTAGACCCAAGAGTATCCTAGGAATAAAAAGGGTGCCCTTTTTGGTTTAAAGGGGCTTATAAGGGAACCCGAACCCTCAAAAAAGGGAATAAGGGCCTACTCCAGGTCCTAGTACTAGTTGGAATGAGGTTTCGGGATACATTACTAGGATACCCAGTAACTTAAGAATACAAAGGCCTCTCTTTTTGGTATTGGGTAACTTTATAAGGAACATAGGACTACAAAAAGGGAATAAGGGTACTACTGGGCATCCTAGATTATAAGTATATGAGTATGACAAGTCGACCCTAAGGAATTTTTAGACCGAAAACTCAGCAAAGCTTTGCTCCTATTGAGGTAGTATCTACGAAATCTACGACCCACCTTCACCAGGCGATAGGCCCTATATTAATCCGGCCCCTATACCCCAAAACCCTATGTTAACATTCAGTTGTACAGTTCGTTGGCGCTGCGTCATACATCGACCCTACAGCACGAAAGCCAGAAAGCCCCATGTTAATTCGCCTGCAAATTCTTGCAGCTGCCTGCCCTATGTTAATCCGGCCCCTATACCCTAAGCCCTATGTTAATTCGCCTGCAAATTCTTGCAGCTGTCTGAGGAACCCCAAATTCGGACGTACCCGAGGGCGCGAGGCCCTGAGCTGGACGAGCACCTCAGCACTGCTTCAGGGCTCTGGGTTTACTTGGAGGGTCGGGGGACTTAGTAAGTAGGTAATAAGTAGACCTATAAGTACCCTAAAAGGGACCCTAGTTGGGGTTATGGTACTTATAAGTCCCTAAAATAACCAGTCACTAAGTCCCCCGACCCTCCAAGTAAGGTCTAGGTTTATGGTTTAGGGCTAAACTTGAAGGGGTCCCTACAACTAGTGGCTTCTATAGGACTACTGTGCTACATCAAGGTTTTATGGCTGGTTGCCCTTGACTTCTCCTTCAAGGCCTTATGTACCACAAACTTTCCTTTTCGGGTGTTCTTTAAAACAGGACACACACGCAAGACGAACGAGAAACCCGAAATCCTAAAGTCTACAGTGCGTCTTCTGCAGTTTTTGACGAACCCAACTCCCAAACCCCAGAGCGCCTCTTGCGCAGTTTTAGAGGAACCCTAAACCCAAACCCTAAAGCATCAAGTTTTCGACGAACCCTAAGCCACCACAAACCCTAAAGCGCCTCTTCTGCAGTTGTTGGTGTGCCCATCCGCTTGGCCACGTGTAGCATGAAGGCTGCCAAGACTGTGGCGGAACGACCTCTGGAGCATGAACGGCTTTTAGGGTTTAGGGGGTTCCTTCAAAGTACTTCAAAGGGGTCCATAAGGGCTACAATAACGGATCTGTCTGGGTACTTATAACCCTATGGTGGGGTGTAGGGTTTAGAGTTCAGCGGTTAAGCCTTTTAGGGCTCAACTAAAGCGGTTTAGGGTATTTAGGGCTTAAGGTTCAGGACTCAAGGGCTTTAAGGCAGGATAGTCAGTAAGGCCACACAGCCCTCAAACCCGAAAAAGTCCCTATGAGCATCCAAGCACCCTTGAAGGATCCCTTCTAGAACCCTTAACGGCCACCCACCCTTAAAGCACCCACCCACCTTGTAGGCCACCCACCCTTAAAGCCACCCACCCTTAAAGGAACCCTTATTAGAAACCTGCCAGGAACCCTGAACGGGGCCTTAAAGGACGAAGGACCCCTTAAGGGAACCTTTAAGGGATCCTTTACTAACTAAAAGGTTAACTATAAGGGTAGTGTAGGTGTTAAGTTTAGGCTTAAGGGCTCCTTGATAATTAGGCAAAAACTCCCTTAAGGGCTCCTTTAGGGGATCCAATAAGGGATCCCTGAAGGGCTTCCTTAGAAGGGGTTCCTTCGATAGGCAAAGGGACTTTGCCCGTGCTTGCAATGGATCAAAACGTGCCCGGACTGCGCGCCCACCGCCCTCTCGAGGAACCTGATTCCAAGGGTAAAAGGAGGGACCCTTAATAAGGACCCCTAGGTAGATACCCTTGATATAGCGATTATATACCCACTATATAGCCCATTATAGGGTAGGGGTCCCCATTAAGGGTCCCTCCTTTTCTCCTTTGACTGATGCTGCGGGGGCGTAAGGTTTCATATCAGGGGCCTTAAGGCTATTTCGGCTTTAGGGTTAATAGGAATTAGGGTTTAGGGCTATTTAGGGTTTAGGGGTTTAAGACTTAGAGGGTTTGGGGTTAAGGCTATTTGGGAGTTTCCGAAAATTAGGGGCACCTTTAGAGGAATCCATAAGGTTCCTTAAAGGGATCTACAAGGGTTCTATAAAGGGTTTACGATTTGGAGTTTCCGAAAATTAGGCGTACCTTATAATTAGTTTCGGGTTCTTATAATAAGGATCCTACAATTTAGGGTGCTATATTAGGGTCCCCTATTTTCGGAAACTCCCATATAAGGGGCCTTTCTAGTTAGTTCCGTTAAAGGGGTCCTTAAGGGTTACTAAATATGGGATCTACAAAGGTACTATCACCCTATGGTAGGGTTCAGGGTTTAGGCTTCAAAGGTTTAGGGGGTTTAGGGTGTAGGGGGTATATGGGATTGAGATTACGGTCGAAGGGATTAGGGTTTAGGGTTTAAACTTTGGGGGTTTCGGGCCCAGGGATTAGGGTTCAGGGTTAAGGGATTACACGGTTAGAGTTGAAGGTTTGGGGTGGAGGGTTCAGGTGCGCTCGTTCCGGTTCGAGGTTTCTTGGGACTTCATTAAGGTTCATTCGTGTTGATAAGGGTTCGTTCAACCTCAGCAAGGTTCATGTGTACCAACTCAGCTACCAAGCCCTAAACCCGTAAACCTGTAATTTCCCTAAACCCTCAACTTCCCTGAACCCTGAAACCTCAAACTTCCCTGAACCCTAAACCTAAGCTAAATACCGAGGAAGTAGCTCACAGCTCTCCAAGAAGTGGTCGCAAATCCGCTGGTCAGCGCCATCTTGCACAGGAACTCGGAGTCGTCCTCTGCGACAGGGCTAGCGGCTTACCTATATATATATATATATATATATATATATATGTATGTATATATAGATATGTATGTATATATATATATATAGTTAAAGATACAGATATAGATATGAAGATACAAAGATATGTAGATATCGCCTTAAGGTTTTTAGGGCTTTAGGGTTTAGGGGTTTAGGGTTTTAGGGAGGGTTGGTAGCCATTGTAGTTCCGATTTTGTGGGTGGGTTTCAGCAACTGCACAATCAGGATTGAATAATAAGGTAACCAAACAAGCGAACTACAACTGAGACTGACATGATGTATTAGAAGGTTCCCCCACCCTGTAATACTGGTATAATAGGAAGATAATAGGGCCCTAATATTTTCCTTATTGTCACTATTACAGGGTGGGGGCAGCTTCTAAATTGATCTTCAAGGCCCCTTAGGACGTAAACCCTTAAGGACTGGAGAGTCCTAAACCCCAATTGCAACAAAACAGCACAACGTACCCCGAAGCCCTGTCCCAATGACGAAATCCCCTAGATTATGGAGTTGTTGATCCTCGAAACAAGGCATCCAAACCTCCGCTTCAAACCCTAAACCAAAACCCCAAAACCCCTAAACCCCAACCCCTAAATCATTAACCCTAAACCCCAAAACCCAAACCCCAAAACTCCAAAAACCCGGATCCTTCCAGCTTCACCCGCAACTCGGTGTGAATGGGTTGCTGCCTTAGTTGCTGAGTTCATGCCTTGAACTACCAAAACCTGCTGTTTTCATAGGGATCCTTAGGGGTGTAGGGGGGAGGGGTGTAGGGGACTATATTTCCTTAAATAGGCCTTATTAGTCCTTATTATGGGCCTTAAGGCCCCCTACCCCCCCTCCCCCTACACCCCTAAGGATCCCTATGATGTTTTGTAGGGCCCCCATAATTTCCATTCCCAAAGGGTCCTATGTACTGTTATGGGGAATACTTCCCCAAACTATAATAGTATTTCCTAATATAGAAACCCTACATTCTACTATATCGGTACTTTGGACCCTTTGGGATATTAAGGCTTATAATAAGAAGCTACAATAAAGTAGGTTATGGTAGTTTAAGGTAAGCCACCAAAATCCACAACCCTGAACCCAACACCTAAGCGCTGAATCCTAAACCCTGACCCTGTACCCTGAACCCCCTAAACCCTCAACCCTGAACCCTAAACTCTTTCAGCTGCTAAGCTGCGCAAAGGGCCCCTGGAGACCTTCAACTTCATGTAGCGGGTCAGCTGTCCCAAGACCCTCAGGGGGTCCGGGGAGTTTTTACCTCCAAAAAAAGGACCCGACAAGGGTTTTTTTACAAGGCCAAGACCCTGATGGCAGTTTACGAACTTGGGGTCATTGAGGTTTATAGGGTTTAGGGTTTAAGGTTTAGCGCGTAGGTTTAGGGATTACGGCTTGGGTTCAGGGAGGTTTAAGGTTCAGGGATTAGGGTTTAGGGTTCAGGGATTGGGGTTAGGGAGCACACGCTCTAGGGCGTACGGCTCTTTAGGTTTTGGGTTTACGCTGGTTTATTTAAGACACTCATAAGTCTATCAGGACTCGGGGAGGTTCAAGTTTTAAGGATCATGGGTTTATGCTTAGGGTATAGGGTTTCGGGTTGAGGGTTTAGGTTTTAATTACGGCCTGAAAATTCAAAACCTCATCCGCAAAGGGCAGCTCGCAGGAGCAGTTAACGACGTACTTGATGCCCAGCGCATTGTAGGTGTGCGGATCACTGGCAACGCCCCAGTTGCCTCCCAACATGCATTCATGGTTCAGCCCTTCTTACACGCACGCCTCACTTGCAAAGAGCGTACCCACTTGTTCGAAACCCTAGACCTTAAACCCCAAAATCCTGGAACCTCAAATTCTACAACCCTAAAGCCCTGAAGCCTAAACGGAAAGCCCAGATGCTGAGGAAGAGTCGCGTCCCGGCCCCGACCGTAGCCATCAGAGATGGGTACAAGCGACCCAACTCGAAATCCGGATGCCCGGGTTCCAAGAAAGGGAACTCGCTGAAAAATTCCTGGGTTCTCAGAAGTTTAGGGTTTGGGGTTCCTGAACCCTAACCCCTAAATTTAAACCCTAAACCCCTAAACCCTAAACCACTAACCCCTAAATCCCTAAACCCCTAAACCCCTAACCCCTGAACCCCAGACCCTGAACCTTAGGGCTTCAAAATTGATTGACCCACGGGATGGGGCTTAAGGTTTCTACTTTGAACTCATGAACGACAAGACTGAAGTGTAAGCACACTGTTCTCAAGCGCTTCAAAGGTATGGAAACACAAACACATGATTTGTTTTACCTTCGGTTTTAAAGGATAAGTTGATGTTCGGGGTGCCTTGGGTACTATTCATAATATAGATATATTAAGACTCTGACCGTGTGGGGGCAGTACCTAAGGGATGCCTGTACTTTTTACACGTGGCTTGAAGCTGCGAAGTGTCCGTTTGAGTCTTCGGGTCATAAACTCAAACCCTCCCTCTTTGAATCCCAAACCCCCTAATACACCCCAAACCCCCAAATCCCTGAATCCCCAAACCCCTGAACCCCTAAACCCCTAAAGCCCTAAACCCTAATCCAGAAAGCCCTAAACCCCTGAACCCTGAACCCCTTAAAGCCCTAAACCCCTGAACCCTAAAGAACCAGACCCTCAGATCCGAACCAGATCTCCACCGAGACCAGGAATCTGGGTACTTGTCAAGGAATATAAATAATTAATAAATAAATAAATAAGTGTATATATACATATATGCTGTTACCGGAATAATGAAATCATATGTTAGGTCTGGGGTTTAGAGGTTGGAGGTTAGGGTTGCAATAAGAAGGAAGCTGCAGAAATCTATGCATCCCCTAAAGCTCCATGTGCCCATATAGTATATACTTAGGCCTTAAAGTACCCGTATAGGGACCCCTTCAAGGCTTAAGTATCTACTATAAGGTGCATGGAGCCATTGGGATCCTTCTTCTTCGTCATGGTAACGAACTTACGTTCGTTCAAAAGATACCTAACCTCAAAGGGCAAAAGGAGGGACCTTTACCTTTACCTCTCTTCTCCAATAACCAGGCCCAAAACAAGTTCAAACTTTTGAAGACAAGCCAAGTATGTAAAGCCAAAAAGTTTAAAGTTCTCCAATTGGCTAAGTAAGTTACTGGGGAACCCCACCATAAAACGGGTGTATAATAGCAAACCCTGCCCACCTCCACGCAGCAGGACAATCGCTCCACATGTTCCACCAGTGCTCCCGGCTTCCCACAAAACCCCCGCCGGCCTCAGAAATTTCTAGGGTTTTAGGTGGTGAGGGTTGAGGACTTCAGGGCTTTACGGTTTAGTTAAGGGTTGGGTTTAGGGATTAGGGTTTAGGGGTTTAGGGGTTCAGGGCTTTACGGTTTTGGGACTTTGCGTCTTCGGGGTTTAAGGTTTTTTGGTAAACATGGTGTTCAAGGGACAGTTTTGGGGGTTGCAGAGAATCAGGGACCCAAACAAAGACCCGACGAAGCAAAATCCTTCTTCTAGCAACTTTTACACGCCTTGGGGGGCACTGCAAGTACTCGTTCCAACTTCGCACGAACAAAGGCGCTAGAGCAAAACTGAACATTCCCTAACCCTAAACCCAAATGCAATAGTTTGGCCACACCAACCGTCAAACTCATCCCGACAAGCCTGGGAAGTGACTCACATTTACGCAAAAGGATTGTGAAACCTAAAACATCCTATAACCAATTTTCAAGCGTACTGGATTCGACCATAAACCCTAAACTCCGAACCTCGAACCCCAAACCCCATATGAACCCGAAAACTCAACCTGAAACCGAAACTCTCTGAAATACAGCGCGTGACAGAGCCAAGTTCGAAGTTCTTGAGCCCGGCCACTGCCTCTAGGGGTAATGTAGGGCCCTTAATAATTATAACAGGGTTTCGGGGTAAAATGTACAATAATAATTAATATATTAATGAACCCCAAAAACCCCATTCTAATTATTAAGGCCCCTATATCATAGTACCCTTATAGATCCTTAGAGCCCTTTACAGGAACCCTTTATAAAGGAACCCTAAAGGAACCCCCAAAAACCCGATTAGGGCTTTAGGGGTTTAGGGTTTGGGGTTTAGGCTTCAGGGTTTAGGGTTCAGGTTCAGGGGTTTACCTAAGAGTAACCTAGGAATAAAAAGGGTGCCCTTCTTGCTTTAACGGGGTTTTAAGGGAACCTGAACCCCTCAAAAGGGGATTCGGGCTCACTCTGGATCCTACGGTTGATGATATAAATCCTGCATGACCCTAAGGACCCTAAACTATGGGAATTATGGTATATTCCTTATTATGGGTAATGCAGGATTTATATCATCAACCGTAGTACAGTTCAGGATGTAGGGATTCAGGGTTTAGGGTTCAGGGTTCACGGTTTAGGGTTCCTTGTTCAGGGGTTTAGGGTGTGGGGTTTAGGGTTTAAGGTTCAAGGTTCAGGGTTTAAAGATTTCGGGTTTCGGGTTCTCTGTCTGAAGTGCTTACAATTGGACACTGCCCCAACTCCGTAACGGCTGGCTAATATTTCGAAGTTTCACACGTACGGCCCTTAATATGACCCCTAGCATAGACTGTCCCAGTACCCAAGATAAGAACACTTGGGCTTTGGGTTCTTTTTTTTTTTAAAGTTAGGTTGACGGCCTTCTTTGTGCGCCTGCCTTGGGCTTTGGGTTCAGAGTTCAGGGACTGACGGGCTTTCAAACAGTTGGGTGTCGGGTTTTTGGGATCGGGGCCTGAAGGTGGTGAACCCGCCTGATGTAGGGGCCTTAATAGAGGGTGTAGGGTTCAGGGTTTGGGAGTTAGGGGGTTGAGGGTTTGGGATTTAGAGGGTTTTCTTTTTAAAGTTGAATTGCACTCCCTTTCTCCAGAGGCGATTTAGAGGGTTTAGGGTTTAGGGGGTTTAGGCTTTAGCTTCGTAGGGGCCTTAGTAATGTCCCAAACTGTGTTAAGAAGGCTTTCTTCAAGGGCTCACAGGGGTTGAAGGTGCAGGGTTGCGGCTTTAAAGAGTTATGAGTATTTATGGGGGCCTTGATTGTTTGAGGGCTTTGAATGAGGGTTTGCAGGTTTCAGGGTTGCAGAGCTTGAGGTTTCAATTTGGGGGGTAAGAGGGTTTTAGGATCAATTCCCAAACCCAACACCCTCTCGGCAGTGCGTTTCCAAACCCTCAACCCTAAACCCCTAGACCCTAAACCCTAAACTGAGTGCGGGCAGCGACGTTCAAAGGAGCCGGAATCCTCTCAGAACTTGCCGAAAAATTCTAAAAGACGTACTTAAAGGATCATGGGACTTAGTAAGTAGGGTTGTAAGTAAAGTAACTACAGTTATAATTACTTATAACCCCAATTAGGGTACTTATAGCCCTACTTACTAAGTCCCATGATCCTCCAAGTAGGATTCTAAAATACGTAGTCGGCACTCACGGGTCACGGGGGTGTCCTCATTTTAGTTTAGGGTTTAGGGTGCAGGGCCTATAAGTCCTCATTCTAGGTGTCTATAGGGTTTGGAGTGCAGGGTTCAGCGCAGAGACATCTAAGGGGAGAAATGCGGAATGTATAAATCGTAGCTGCTCAGTGTTGCTTACCCCCGGGAGGTCTGGAAGTCAAATCCCAGAACTACAAGACTATACTGAACTTGGGACCCTAGCACGACTTATGAGTTTACGTGTAGCTGTTTCTTAGTGCCTTCGGGATGGTAGTAACCCAAAATTGAAACTTATTTCTAAGGACCCCTAAGAAGACTACGACACCCTGAACTTCCGAGTGGCCATGGTTTCCACGCTCAATGACCACCACCGACCATCCGCGCGCCGGTCTTGTGGCAACAACCTGTCGAAGCCGGAGCGGAACAAATACCATGCCCTATAGCTACTGTAGTGTACCATATTACTACGCTACAGCATACATACTGCACTATACTATGCTCTAAGCGCTGCAGGAACTGACCAAACACCAAGCTCTAGGTTCCATCTAACTGCGCCAGCCGTCTTACCGTCACGATTGCTCTACTTGCTCGGTTTAGGGTTGGGGGTTTAGGGTCGGTGTACACATGCTTACATGCAACAACACAAAAACTCGCACACATGCGTAGCTTATCGTAGCTTTCCTGCCTACATACCTGCTTGACAAGCGACGGATTCTCACCTACCTGCCTACCTACTTGGAGGGTCATGGGACTTAGTAAGTACAGTTATAAGTACCCTAACTGGGGTTATATCCAATTGTAAGTATAGTTGCCTTCCTTATAACCTAGTAATACTAAGTCCCGTGAACCTTTAAGTACCCTACCTCTTTGGGTGAGCGAGCCTCGATGCCTTTGCGGAAGAGCGCTGGAGAAAGGAACTGCAGCTCGCTGTGATCATCCCACTGCTCCTACATAATGCACAGGATGGCATGGAGTCACTGGGTTTGGGTTTGGGGTAGGTACATACTTGGGAACCGTAGCGCCGTAGGAAATACATAAAGGCCCCAAACCCTGAACCCTAAACCAATAAGGTTGAACAGGCTGCTGTCGCAAATGATATTGTGAAGCGAAACGGAGAACTTAGTGGTAGAAGACCTCCTCCGCCCTGAAAACTTAACTATACTGAACTTAGAACCCTGGCAAAAAAGGTACAATGTTAGATGTTTCTTAGGGATTATAAGAACCAAAAACTTTAAAAAGATCTAAGTACCCCTAAAGTTAACCTCTCCACCAGGCAGATATCAGGTTCGGCTGTCCTGCGCGTCCTCGGAGTCTTCAGATTGCTCCAGCACGGTAAGAACCAGTGCCCGTGTGTCTTGCCTGAGCTGTTGCATGACGGGTAGCGGGAAGTGCATGTTGGAGGTTCAGAACAACGGAAGCGAATCTGGGATACTGTTGATGATAGACATCCTGCATTACCTTAAGGACCCTAAACTATGGGAATTATGGTATATTCCTGACTATG